TAGGCTGAGATGCAGAGGAAGCAGTGTATTTGCACGCACAGAGTGTGCAACTACGCTCCCCGCATGGCAGAGAGATGAGAAGTAAAGAGGTGAAACTATATGGGCGTAGAGAGCGAGAGCGATTCAGAAATTCGTAACTCAGCAACGAGTCATATTGCCTTCAGACGCGACTTTTGTGTTGAACTAGTTCAGCATGGGATAATCCTAAGGATGCTTTCGGCGTCCAAGTGGAGTGAATGCAAGCGGTATCCAGACATAACCTTTGTCTGAGAAGAAACAATGCGGAAGCGCATCTCTCAGTGATATTATCTCCATTTGCACCCTTTACACCACGAAGACTGGAAACAATGCCCTGAGTAGAAAGGACCGAGGAAGTTCCTACGCACTGTTGAAGTGCTGCAGGAAACGGCGGAGAAATGCATGAACCTCGTCGTGATGGTCTACTGAAAACCGCTGTTTTGGAGGACTCTATCCAATTAACACCCGAGGAACAACAGAAGCGGGTACAGTCAAAGGAATTGTTCGCAGATGTTTTATATAACAAGCAAGTACCATCGGGAAGGCCAGCATCTGGACGCTCAATGCACGGCATCGAGCATACTGCTGGATCCGCTCCAAGCTGTATTCCAAGGTACCATCCACCACCACAACATGAAGAGGAAATCGAGCGGAGAGCAGACGAACTGCTAAGAAAAGGCAAAGTTCAACCGCCACATCACGTTTTGACCCAAGCCGGTGCTGATCAAGAAAAAGGACGGAGAGTGACTCATGTTCATCGACATCAAGCCGCTAAACAAAATCATTGTGAGATACATGTTACAGATGCAGATGATTGACGAAATAGTTGGTTGGTTGAAGCGTTCAGATGTTGCTTCATCCGACGGCCTCATTGACATGCTTTTGCAGATCCCAATACACCCCGGTGACAGGCGCAACACCGCTTTCTATACTCCCAACCGCAGACGTAAGTACAACTGTATGCTATTTGAGCTCGCGCCTGCAGCTACACAAGTGTAGAGACAGGCAATCACGATTTACTGGGGCCATCAAACGACGGGTGTACGGTTATCCATACATTCCTCATTGACTGTAGCAAACACTGAAGCGAGCCGCCAGTACCTTTTGGTGGTCTGCGATGGGGCCCTCTCCGGAGGAATATGCCATTAGCTTTCCCCATGGTCAGAGGCACAGGCCGTGGAACACAGGCAATCCCAGACTCTTCTGGAGCTTTTCAATCGCCAGACGAATCCGTGCAGATATACCAATGTGTTTCATAGTACGTTTACCACCAGTCAGATATTCCGCTGACATGCAATGTTGCATAAGAAGCAAATGAACCCATCGGTATGCGCTAGAGGCCAGTCAGCCTGTTCAAACGCGACAAGGCTCCGAGCAGGGGGTCAGTTTCCCACAGGAGGGCCGGTCCTGACCAACATCCACTCTGCTAAAGGAACAGGGAGCTGAGTTTTGACAAGCATTTTGGGGAAATGCCTGAACAACTTCTCCTTTTTTTGCTAATATTTTTCAGAACGCCTTTGCCACTACTCGCTGCTACACAGCAGCCTGCCTAGCTGTGGGGGCTTTGGTTCATTGCTTGCTTGCCAGCCCCAGTGAACCAAGCGGTGGTGCAAAGGGTAGCGACGGTCCTCGATCTTATCCGACGACAGCACTGAGCTGCCGTAGGGTCAAGAATACTTGCAAAAAGCGGTTCTAAAATGTATACGGCCTCCTCCCCTGCCAGAAGGCGCCATTGGCACAGTGGAAGAAGTTCCTGGGACTTCTGCACGACGTGGCAGTCTGCTTCGAGCTGCAGCGCACCTCGTTTCAACTAGCGCCGGATGACATCCCCGCATGCAGGCGCATCCAAGCCCCCCTTTGCTGCATGAAGTACCACTGTGAACAAGTGTTGAACTCTTGCGTTGCCTTTACTATGCAGCCTTGGAGCAAGTAGATACACGCGGCAGCTTCACACGGAGCGTGCTACACGGGTTATACCCTACTGCGCGCAACACGAGCCCGATTTTGAAGTCTAACAGAGACATATCCCCAAACAACATATCCCCGAACGGCAGCTTGTCAGCTACTACTTCCAACTGCAACGACTGATCCTGCTGTGCTTTGTTGCTCGTGCCGCAGCACAAGCTGCAGCAGAAGCAGCGATGTGGAGCAGGCTCAGTCGCTGCAATTGGAGGTAGTTGGTGACCAGCTGTTGTTCGGGGATATGCTGCTGCGTTCGGCTGCTGCTGCTGCAGCAGCTGCGACTGATTCCCCCTTCTGATCCAGCCTTTACACTCCCTCTGCATGTCATGTCAATTTGTAGTTTCGAAGAGAGATGACGCATTTAAATTCTGCTTCTGCAGCCAGCACTCCCCATCGGTGAGTATTGCTGACCTGCAGGCGTGCTGCTGCTTCTGCAGCGCCTGAACAGGCTATGATGAAACGCTCCAGAAACACTGCAATGAATGTGTATTTATCTAAACAGATAAGCAACGCCTGCACAGCTGTTGTAACAGCAGCAACCGCAGCAGTGGCGCCACGTGCTACTGCAGTGGTAACAGGGAGCTACAAGGAAGAAAGACGAGCGGTAAGTGAGGCTGAAACATCTCCCACTCAGCCTGCTGCGGCAGCATCCGCAGTACCTGTAACAGCAACCGTAACCGTATGGCAGAACCAGCACCAGCAGCTCCAGCACCACCTAGCAGCGAACTAGCAAAGCTGCAGCAGACTGCGTCAGCTCCTTTTGCTGAGCAGAAACACTCATCTCCTCTACTTTGGTATAAATCCTTCGGAGCAGAATACAGGAATGATGGCATCCCCCAAACCCCCCCAAACTTGGTGCGAGCTGCTGCTACCCCTGTCCTGCTGCTGGTGCTGCGGTCTTTGCATTGACAGAGCAGCAGGAACAGCTGCAGCAACAGTC